TTAAAAAAAGAAAATCTTCACAAGAAGAATCCCGAATTTCTCAAGTTGCTTATTATAATAACGATAATGATGACAACAATATTGATACCAATAATAACAACAACGATAACCACAATGTTAATAGTAACAGCAACAGTAATAACAATATTCAAGAGGATTTGTTCGTTAAAGATGCATTTCTAGTATTCCGTGCACTTTGCAAATTATCAATGAAACCAGTTCCGCCAGAATCATCAGTAGATCTAAAGTCACATTCTATGAGATCAAAGCTATTGTCATTGCACTTAATTCTAACAATACTAAGTTCGCACATACAAATCTTTACTTCATCAAATGTTCATATTATTTCTACATCTACACATGAAAGTACTATATTCATTCAAGCTGTTAAACAATATTTATGTCTAAGTCTCAGTAGAAATGCTGTTAGTTCTGTACCTCAGGTTTTTGAAATAAGCCTTGAAATATTTTGGAAATGTATAAGTAAATTAAGGAATTATTTAAAGGTATGTAAATGTCTATCTATACGTTGACATACATACATATATATATCTGATATATGTTTTAAGTAAATATCAATACATATTATTTAATTGTCTCTTTTTTTTCTTTTCTTTTTTTTTTTTGTAAATTATAAATCAATTTTTAATTAATATTTATTATTTACATACATAAATATATGCCTACATAAATACATTCACATAAATAGAAAGAGATCGAAGTGTTTTTTAATGAGATTTTTCTACCAATTATAGAAATGAGAAACTCATCTATAAAACAAAAATATGCTTTAATGAATATTCTTTCTAGAATATGCTCTGATCCACAAACACTTGTGGAAATCTATTTAAATTATGATTGCGATCGTGAGGCTGTTCACAATATATATGAACGGTAATGTAAAAAATGATTATTGGGAACAATATATATATGAAACAAATATTTATTAGTAGTCATACAATCAATAGATAAATAGATACATACGATGTTAAATTCTTTTCTAAGGTATCAGTAGCATCATTATCATTATCATTGATATTAATGATGGCAGTAGCGGAGGTATCAGTGATGTTTGAGGAAGGATCATCGGTTATTTCTTCTTGGACTACCCTAACAAGATCATCGACAGAATTATGAGCATTTTTCCATTGGCCAATCTCTGATTCAGTATCTCCTACTACATTATCAAATTCTACTGCAGTTGGTGTTGATAACGATGATGTTGTTGATATTATTTCGGTAGTGCTTGTAATGACCTTTTGTATTTCATCTCTTGGATCATTTTTATTAACACTAATATTATTATTATTATTATTATTATTAACATCATCATCATCACCATCGTTTGCAAGGTTATTAGCATCTCTGATAGAAGAACCATTTTCTGTTATTTGCGAATGCTCTATCTGTTCCAATTTTACATGTCCTTCATCATAATCTTCGTCGTCGTCATCATCACCATCATCATCATCCATATTTATTTTAATATTTAATTCTGGATTACTTGACCTATATTTGGAGTTTACACTATAAGACGATGATGATGAACGATTTTTTTTATTTTCTGAAAATGACAAATCCCCCTTACTACTATTATTACTACTGCTGCTATTATTATTATTACCATGATCATTACTACTAAAACTACCGTTATTGTTATTAATTTGATTGTTATTATTTATTTCATATTTATCAATTTTTATACGACCAAAAACTTGATTAACCATTTGGGTTAAAGTACCTTGTGCTACCGTTTGATTAGTAGGATTTTTTGAAAGCAGAAAAATATTGTAAGATGTACGAATTGATTTAAGAAGTGATGAATGATGAACTGGGATGTCTATTGAGGAGACAGCAGCAAGTAAAGCCTTATTATTATTATTTTAAGAAAAATAAATTGATAAATAAGTATTTATTATTTAATAATGTGATTAAATTGATTAATTGATTAATTGATTAATTGATTAATTAAGAATAATAATTATAAGAACCTTGATTATTTGCAATTGAACTTTATCATCTGTATTTTCACCAACGAAACAATCACATATTGTGTCTATTACAAGATCAATAAGATTTTGTTTTTCTTTGACTTGCCCATTATCACTATTACTACTGCTGCTGTTACTGTTGTTGTTGTTGCTAGAATTAGGATGATTGCTATTATTAATACTATTATTATTATCTTCTTCGCCATTTTCAATTGGTGATTCTTCATTATTTGATTCAATTAAATAATTGTATGAAATAAGTTTTCCTATACAATCTAAAGCTATTATCATAATATTTATTACTCTTGTCTGACAAGCAATTTGAAGTGGTTCAAATATTATTACTGCATCACTAAAACAATACATTAAAGTCAATGATTATAATTATAATTATAATTATAATAATTGTTATATTAAATAATATATATACATACCCTTTCTTATCTGATTCTTCATTTTTTATTGTTTCTTGATAAATTATTATAATAACAAAATTTGAATATTTTTGAAAAGCAAAATGTTAAAATCTTTTAATAAAAGTGCGATAAATTTTTTACGCGATCTCGAACTTTTAATTACCCAAAGCCTTATTAATACTCTCTTTTAACTTTTTATTCCTTTTTCCTTCTTTGCTCGAGCCAATATTTTCTAATGCATTAATAATGAAAACTTTACTGGATGACATTTGTTTATTAATATTATTATTTTATTATCAAATTTTTTTTTACTCATTTTTTTTATATTAATATTAAAAAATTAATCGCTGCGGATTTTTTAATGTTACACGTACACTTGGACAAAAAGTTTGTGTCATAGGCAGAAGTTTGTCTGATTGGCTAATTTTGCTGATCAAATTCAATTGAGTTCGCATATTATTTATATATGGG